AGGACTTTAAATTCCAAGTATTGTCCTAGTTGTGCATAATTATGCATCATTTTATGTATAAGAATAGAGGGGAATGCTGTCGTTATGTAATCTCTCTTCAAGCCTCTCTCCAAATTGCACACACGGCGACCATTGTGTGGTGTACATGTGGTAGCTCAGGCGTTCAGGCGTGCAGACGTGTTGTTTGTAAAGAAAAGCCTAATTAAGTAGAAAATGCAAGCACCCCTCCTCACCCCCTCTTTTCCCAGCCATAATGGCTGGTCCCCTTGCTCATGCTAATGTGTGGAATGCAGCCATTTCCTCCCTCTGCAGGAAGACAAAGAGAGTCAAGGTCGAGGCCGGCAGGCCTGGCTTTATCTCACCTCTGGCCTATTTTTGGTGGGCATACGCTGCCTTGTTCATTGCTCAACGTTATAATCTACTGATCTAATTTAATGTTAACTTCAGAGTATTGTAATCAACAAATCACTCCTCATTGCCAGGGGGCCTGAGGAATGTAGGTCCAGTAACAGTTTGTAATGGCTGGACAGATTACAGGACTGTGATGATCATTTCACAGGTTACAGCAGTGACCATTCGCACTTACAGATGGTTGTTCATTAACTCTTTGCACTCTAAGGATCCATTTGTGGGCCAACGCTTAAAATTCCTCACTCTCATAACTACATCATTTATACATTAGTTTACACAATAATCCATAGTAGTTACTGGATAATGAGTATAAGGTTAAGATGTGGTCAAGGGTAATACAAAGGACATTCTAAAATTACACTGCATATAATTTCCTTTACCCTAATTGTGTGGTTCTGAATGATAAAAAGGTTTAAATAAACCAAATGTGGCCTGTATAGCTTGTACATCATATTAATGGGAAGTCCACTGATTTTTCTGAAATTCTGTATAATTAAATGTTTGAGATACAAACATAGTCGTTCACAGTGGTTTGATGTGAATTGCACAGTTCTACAGAAATTTACAGAGCCAGAATTATTTACAGTGCTGGTGATAGGAACCAAACATCTGAAGCGGTTAATGCCTCAGAAAGCTACATCACAGAAAGTTTTCACTCAAAATAGTTATGAATACGCTGCCTGATGCCTGAGGCAGTGTTTTACAACAGTTTTAAAAGAACGTTTTGCCATTAAATATGTTTTGAAATCCATCAATGGTAAAAAAGCACATGCAGGGTGCTGTAAGGGAATAGTTTACCATTAACAGTTTTATATATACAAACTCAGAAAACATGTGAAGGTTCACTGGTCAGTTTTAGATAGTAATTGAAATCCCTATATTTGTGTATGTAATTAAACACCGTAATTAGATTCTCTACAGTGGTCCATTTCACATCAAACCACTCTGAATGGCTTTGTTTACATCTCAACAGTTGTCTTATGCAGGATTTTTTTTAATCAGTAGAATTATCTTTTATGCTGTTCTCTTTTATGATGTTCATTTGGTGTCCATATTGCTAAATTATTTAAAATATGTCATTTCCCTGCATACATTTCAGAGCCTGAGGGGATATTCAGTTCAATACTATATTAGTAGCATGTGGGAGGGTGAGTTAGTACTGATCTGGTCTGCACTATGTAGCGCACACTCAGCAATACACCCAAAAGCGTTCAGTAAGCATTCATCGGACATGACGGGTCTTCAGGCCTAGACATAAAACAACATTTTTATTTCTGCTTTACTTCTAACCTGTCAAGTTGCAACTGCTGCTCAAATTTACCCCCAGGCCTTTGTTCAGTGAAGTGTTTGCTTTCGATCCGGTTCTAAGTTAGTCTCTGTACGCTGACTGAAAAAATCGGTTAAAACAGATTCATTTGGTGATGTGATTGCTGTGAGTCCACACATCCATGGGACCAACTGCACACATCAACAAGCGAAGACTTGCTTTCTACACAGCTGCCACTCACAAACCATGTGGGTCCAGCCAGTGTTTGAATGTGCCGATTTCTTGTCATCGTCATGATGAGAGTTCACTGTCCCTCAGGCACATTCTGTGCAAAACTGAGCTCAGGCTTATCCACATTTGGATAAAGCATCGAAATTCTCTACTATGAGAAGGAGCTTGTATGGTTGTGTACGGTTCAAGTGAGTGAGTCGTCAATGTTTGACGTGTTTATGTATGTGTTAGAAGTGAGCTGTTAATGTTGAGAGGACGAAAAGTGAGACAATTTGTTGTGATGTGGTATATTTGATCAGTTTTGTACATCACTGCTGTCATATCAAAATCCCATTTATTTATGTATTTATTCATTTCATTTGAAAACAGCAGCTGCCTTTCACACTGAATATTTTACGACAAATGAACCAATAGATATGGTTCAAATTGCTTGGAATAAACTTTTGTCACATTAACTTAGATTAAGGACACTTTTTCCTTCTCCTACAAATTTACCATTTGAAGGTGCGATGTTTTCTCAGCAACAGTACCCAATTTACGAGACTGTCTCATATATGTACAGTACTGTGTAAAATCTTAGGCACTAAAACATGCTGTTTAGTACATTTCTGTTTGTAAAAACAGCATATAACATTAGGATAAATTCAAAAACATTACTGCAGTAAAATTTAACAAGAATGTCTTATTTTTAAAAAAGCTGACGTTGTTCCAGATTTCTCCTCAGTGCTCCCAGCCGTGGCCTAGTTTTGTTTAAACCGCAATCAGCACATCTGAATGAATTTAAAAGAGTATTAATTAGTCAAACCAGGTATTGAGTAATAACTACAAGTAATACTGGCCTTCCTTGAGGGAAGCTATGGAAATAGTTAAGTGAACACAGTAACATACATGAAAACACTAATTGCTGTATTAACTATCGGTGCCAAACAATTAACATTAAATAATTGATCATGATTAATCATGTTAGTTTATATAATTAATCATGATTACTCACATTTGTCTTATTTGCTCTCATTTGATGATAAATAAAGATTTTTTTCCCATTTAAAAAGAAGTGTATTTTGTTATAGCTATATGGGAGGGTAAAATAAGTTTTATCAGAATGTATTTATTGCCTTCAATAATTCAGCTTGAATCTAAACAGTGAATCATGTGAAAATTGGGTGAACAGGAAAATGAGGTGAATGCAGTGTCACCCATGTCCAGCAACTGCAACGGTGGCTGCATGTTCTCAACTCCTCTGCAGCTGTAGCCCTGTCCATGTCATAAGTTTTGTTTCGAGGTGAACTGTATTTTTTTGCTTTGCTATTGCTTTTGTTAGTTTCTCTGTCCAGAGACAGAATAGTCTGCCAAAGGCGTCCTTCATGCTAACGTTACTGATGTTACTGATATTGCCAGCATTGGTGGTTTGTTTGTAAATGATACTTCACACTCAGTGTACTTTAGTGATAAACAAATTCATGGCATGGTAGTCACTGGAAATAAGTTTTATTAATAGAGCCATCGGAAGCTGTCATAGCTAAGAAAATGTGTAAACAGCGTAAAAAATGAGTGATGTTAATAATTTATCCTGTTAATATGTTGACTTTTTTACACTATAAGTGTTAATATTATATGTATTTATTCTAAAAATGAACTTTTAAAAAACTTGTGTCTCCATTTTGGTCATTACATATATTTAATTTGCCTGTCAGAGGATGCTGAAGCTGTATGTGTGAGTGTAAATTGTGTCAGGATGTAGTGATAGGGGATAGGGGGTGAAGCGTGTAAGAGCAGATGGTAGACCTCTCCCCTGTAATGTCTGCTGTGGGGACAACAATACGTCTCTCTGAAAGCTTATTAAGGAGGGGTAGGCTATTGCACTCCATGGACAGCTGGCAGGCAGCATGCCTCAAACACACACACACACACACACACACACACACACACACACATGCACACACACTCACCCCTCCCTCACTGTCCACACAGACACACACTCAGCAATTAACTGGCACGGGCCAGGGCTTAAATATTCACCAGCTGAAAGCAAACAAAAGAGCTTAAAATCAATACTTTATCAGTTTTGTCATTCACTGCATACCAGTCTGCACAATTCATAGTTCCATTTGAAATCTATCAGTTTAAATTATGGAGGCTATTTGTCATTTGTCATTTTTTGGCTGCATGAACAGTACAGGAAAACAGAAAAACTGAGAGCTTTCTCACTGACTGGGTGTCCCCTATGAGCAGTAAACACAGATAGGTCAAGATGATAGGAACAGTGCTGTAAGAATCAGTCCAATATGCTTTATTGTTGATAAAAATGGTTATTACATTGTGGTGAGACATTTATAAAAATGCCCAACATGTAAAAAAAAACATGATGTAATAGTGGGCACTACATTACCAACCCGTCCTGCACATGTGTGAGGTATAAAGCCAGTTATGTGATACTCTCAGGGCTGCCTTTGTCCTCAGCAGTTAATTCTAAACTGTGATTAAATTAAAATGTAAACATTGGTAGGATTCGTGAGAACTATTAAACAGTCCTGCTCATATTATATGTATTCATGTGAACTACCACCCAGTCCAAGTGCTGAAAGCTAAATAACACCAGCCAACCTGTGTTCAGTGGGTTACCAGTTAGTTAGTTCATTTCAACATATGTGTAAATACAAATATAAACATATTAACATATGAATATAAACTACTACCAAATCCCAGCTCTGGAGCTGGAGTAGTATCAGCCAATCCGGACGCAGTGTTTAGCAATTGGTTTAAGTACTACGTTTATTCTACGTTTATATAAACAGAATAAAATCAGAAAAAGTGCGTTGAAATACTAGTAAATTCAAGCGCAGGAGCAGAAATACCACCAGCTAATTCTGAGTCTAAGTCCCTGAATAGCGTGTAGTTTGTTTTATAAGGAGAGTAAAAATTAATTTAAACGTGATTCAATAAAATATGTACGCATATGTCCTACGTGCCAATCCTGGCGCAGGAGCCGATCCAGCCGCTGCATCAGCCAATCCGAGCTCAGTGGGCGGAGTTTGTGTGAATCCCCGAGGGACTCGCAGCCTTCACATTCCTCACATTCCAGCCGCGGAGAACAATCGAGCCTCCGCGGTTTAATAGCAGCGGCTCCTCCCTCCGGCCTCAGTCTGCCGGAGGAGCTCACAGGGCTCACAGAGCCTAACGTCCGCGCTCAAACACGAATGGAAATATAGCGACTGCTTTTTATTTGTAAAGGACAATACTATTGAAGAGAAATAAGAGCTACACTCACCGTCCTCAACTTCTTTTGCCGTCATGCGACTGTGAATTGGTGAGTTCTGGAGTCAGCAGCCAAAACAACAGCAGTCAGTGTGTGTGGATTCATTTTCGGTTGGCTTTCTTTCCACGACGTAATGCAGTGTATTAAGTTACTTATTAAGTTATGTTAAGTCGTGCTCTCAAACTGTCTACTGCTTTTAAATCTCTGTTATGAGTATTTAGTAAGCAAGTTAAAACATCTGGATCTAGACATGTTTGGGTTCCATGCCATAGATACAGATAGAAAGATACAAGCTCTAATATGTTACATTGTTTTCAAACTTGACTCAAGCTTGGACTGTTTGTGGTTATGTTGTGAAGCCGTGGTTCTGTAATGGGCTGTTTGGTAGAGCATTCCAGCTCTTTTGCTGTAAACGGGGCCCTCTTGGTTTACCCAAGAGTAGGTTGCGTGAAGGTGAGGCAAAGGAGAGGAATTTGGAGCAGGAAAGTACTGACGCAAATGCTACTGCAGAAATCTCACTCACCCTCCAGTAATGCACTAAGGTCAAACGGTCTCCAGTTAGGCATGGCTGGACTTTTTTCTGTGAAACTGCATAGCTGGGTTCTAGTCCTGTGTTCTGTGAAATGAATTGGCTTGCAAAATGTGTTCTGGTATAGGTGAGGGTCTTGTGTTTGAGGGGATTATCCTGTGTTGACATGGCATGAAGGGGAATCCACTCAGAGCTCTGTTTGCTTTCTCTGAAGTAGTTTAATGATCTGTGTTTTCAGCTGATGAAGCAGGCTAAAATGTAGTAATGGTTTAACTTTGATATTTGAACGTTTATTGTGTGGAAAACCTTATTTTATTACTAGGTCGGGCTAATTTATTGTGGTCATTCTTTTTTTAACCTAGGTTGACCAATCAAGCCAGAGAATTGCTCACTACTTAAAGTGTTGGTTTTATTTGCAATTGTGCTTCAACCTTGACTGAAATGAGAACTGCAGAGGAGTCCTCAGGCACGGTGCTGCACCGGCTTATTCAGGAGCAGCTGCGATACGGGAACCCCACAGACACACGCACTCTCTTGGCCATCCAGCAGCAAGCCCTGCGGGGAAGTGGAAGCGGCGGAGGCGCAGGGAGCCCTCGCTCGTCCCTGGAGAGCCTCACTCAGGAGGAGTCCCAGTTCATCCAGATGTCCACGAGACAGGAGCCACAGGGCCAGGAGCACCAAGGGGACTACCAGCACTCGGAAAGCCCCATCTGCCATCTCTACCAGCTCCACACAGAGGAGCTACCCACCTACGAGGAGGCCAAAGCTCACTCGCAGTACCTGGCCTCACAGAGGGGTCAGGCTTGCCTTCAGCAGGGTGGTCTGGATACCCCTGGTGCGGATTCAGGGCTTGAGCAGGACCAGGGCACATGGGACCTCAAACGGGAGCATGCTAGGTCACTAAGCGAGCGCCTCATGCAGCTCTCCCTGGAGAGGAATGGTGCCCATGACAATGTGCCCATGAGTTCATCGCACAGTTACCCCCAGCTATCTGGTAGCCATGCTGGTATTGCTATCCATGATGGGCCCGATCAGCGTGGACCACCCCCAGAGTACCCCTTTACGGTCAAATCTCCTGGATATATGCTTAGCCATTCGCAGGAGAATGGACATTATTACAAAGAACCCCCTCCTGCTTTCCACTCTCAGCATCACAGGTAAATGATGCAGCATTCAAGCACCCCTGCAGTACTTTGCATGTAACAATTTCTTCATTAAACACTGACTAACCCTGCCTTTATGTCTGTTCCAGGTATGTTCCAGCCCAATCACAGGTAGCTAGACATAACGCCCTGCCCACAATGACGCCTGCTGGTCAGGATGTCATAGTTGGAGGCTACAGCATCTCAGCCCCTAATCCTCAAATGGAACAGCTGATAAAGGAAAATGAAAGGCTGAAGAGGGAAGTGGAGAACTACAGTGAGAAAGCAGCAAGACTGCAGAAAGTAAGGAAACCACTTGGTTGGTTATATGTTAACTTTACACATGAATAGGCAGTTATTCACATGGGTTCCCTCCTGTTTTGAGCTCATAAAATGGCTTACAGTGGTGTGGATGAAAGAAATCATAGTCTGCTAGTCACTGCCAATTGCTGCATTCCAAAGAGATTAACTCTCTAGCCATGTAGGAATGTGTGCAGTGAAGGGGATCACAAGGATTTTGATTTCATTTAAAACGCGCCCATTCTCAGTAACTGAGCAGAATTTTGTAGAATTTTGTTTTGTACCTGAAAGCATATTGAATCTGTGTATGTCAGAAATGCCTGGCATTTCCCCATAACTTGATAATGTCAGTACTGAGATGCCAGAATGTCATGGTAAACTGAGGAAGGAATACTAGTTTACCTTGGCTGGTGTTTTGCACAAATGTAATAGGTTTACTTAAGCCAAGCTTTCACGTACAGCTTCCATTTTCGTTTGTCAGTGTCATGTCATTTATCTCTTTAAAAGACCATAAACAAATTTGAATTTAGTTTATTTATATGCCATGTGAGCTCCTGAAATTCTATAGTTTACTTCTATAAGAAACATTGTCTATAAACGAGGATTCTTCAGATCAGGCCTTGGTCCTATGGATCAATAGGTCATAAATTGTAGCAGGAGGCGGGCTTCCCTGGGTTTCTCTGAGGTCTCCTTTGTCTGCCGGGTTGGAGCAGATGTCGGAGCTCATCCCAGTGTGTCTGAGACTGGTGATGGGATTCTGAGCGGTTAGCAGCTGACGGCTGAACACCACAGCTGTGGATTCCCAGACTGAATGACTTCTTTCACTTTCACCCCAAAGCAAAAGCCCTTGAGGAACCCTGTGTCTTCTCACTGGTTTTTGTGTATTGGTCAAAACAGATTTGAGCTTCTGTACCTTAGAATGGCCACTTTGTTAGCCTTAACACCTCAAAGTGAAGTATGAAATAGTGTTCTACCTTCGTGGAACATTTTCCCTATCACAATGCTATGATACCTATAGCATACAGTCTAGCTATCGTGAATGGTATGTCTTCAACACGTCCTGTTCCTTTGTTCCTTTGGCTTGCTTTTGGCATCCCGCCATGCAGAGAGATGAATGTGCAAACACCTGGGACTCATAAGTGTTCTTTCTGGAATGTTGATTCAATTCCCAGTCCCCGAAGAGCTCTGTGAGAGAGTGATTCACTTGTGGGCAAGCACAATGAGCAGTCCAGCCAAGCACATTCTTCCCTGTCTCCCTTTCTCACCCATCCTGGCCTGGTTACTTTTAGGTGTAACACACAAAGCTTCCTTTAAGCTCATTCAGGTGGCCACTGTGGAATTCCTGTGATTGAATGTAAAAAAATTACAAAAGGCTCTTTCTTTTTCTTCTAGCTGGAGCAGGAGATTCAGAGGATATCGGAGGCTTATGAGACTCTTATGAGAGGATCTGCGAAGAGAGAGACTCTTGAGAAAACCATGAGAAACAAACTTGAATGTGAAATCAAGAGGCTTCATGACTTCAACAGAGACCTTAGGGGTAAGTGCAGTTGTGTAGATGTCTCCCAAACTGCAGCAAATACTGTTAGCGTGTGTGATCTCAACTGTATGGAAACATTGATTTCTGTGAATTCAAATTTCCACTTCTGTGTCTTATTTTAGATCGCCTAGAAACGGCCAATAAACAGAGAGCAACCATGGAAGATCAAGATCACAGCCAACACGTCTTTGCCAAATTGGCTGAGCAGAGTAAGTGAAAATTCCCCCTGCAATTCAGTTTATTCAAATATCCCTCTCCTATTCTGTTGTTGAAGCCAAAACCTGGATGTTGCAGCTGTTAAGACTTTTTATCTTAGTTATGTGGACATACCTAAACATTCCTCCGCTGACACTGCTCTGCATGTTTGTGATGGCTGTGATTCCTGAGAAAGCTCTTGTTTTGACATATCACATTCCCAAGATTAAGCAGCCCATTAGCATCGCAAAGGCCAGCTCTCCTGTGACAAATTACAGTGGCATGTTGAGTTCAGCGTGAGTAGTTGCTCGTTTGTGCTAGCTGAGGCCCAGCCGAGGGGAACATGCTCTTCTCCAACTGAGAGAGCTGCTCTCGGAACTTGAGCACAAGCCATTATTAACAGCATTGGTAAATGCGGCCTGGATTCCTGGAATATTTTCAGGTATTTTGGGCTATTCCACGTTTGGGGAATGTCTCCCAACCCCCAGTTCCCCCCATCCCCCAACCACTCAGCCAAAGAGGCCCTGAGCACCTTCCTCTGGAGGCCTCAGACACCCATTCCAGATTTAAGCAAGACCTGGCGTACTGTCTTTCCTTGTTTGGGCATAGAGGTGCTAAAGAATGCAAAAATGAAGTAAACAGGTTTTTTGCAATACCAAAGGAGGTATTCAGTTGCTGATGGCACTGGCAATCTCTGAAGTAGCTTGGCTATTGTTAAGCTGTTTGAATCAACCTTCTTTGAATTACAGCCCTCTCACAAGAATGTTAATTTGGGCCTTGCATTGGAAACTAATCTGCTCAAAGTGATCCTTACTTTGTTGCATAATGGAATTAGGTTTCCTTGAAGCACTGAAATGTTTGTCTTAAAGGCAACATGCCTCCATTTATGTAAACACTAAGTGTTGAAATATTTTGAAATGACAGATTGTCATGTATACTTACTGCTTTCAGAATGAGCTGTTAGCTCAGGAGAGCATGTGATCCAGCGTCTCATATCTTTTAAGCAATATGTACGTTAGCGCTCTCTGACCTTGAGAAGATATTTGTATTACTTGTTTACCACTTGGCCCAAATGCATTCCAGAGTTCCACTGGATATAAAGACACGCCTGTGTGCGTAAGTGGATAAGAGGAAGTCTGCATTCCATTCCTGTCCAGCATTTTCGGTTGTATTAGCAGGGCTTGAGTACTGAGGGGAGTTGAAAAACTAATGCTTTCTAACTTGTTTTCTTGCTCAGCAAAGCATTCAGCCTCTAAAAAAACAAGGCACTGGAGGTGAAGTGTGTTCTCTCAATGCTGAGAGATGTTAAGTGCTAATTGGGCTTGTGGAATTCGGTGTACCAAATTGTAATTCAGTTGGTCGCTCTGGTAGTCTGGGAATTCTGCCGGATCTCTGGTATGTCGGGTCAAAGGACAGCGACGAATATGCTGCTGCTCCTCCTACGGCCCAGACGGGCATGTGTAAATCAAGCGGTCCTCTTTTGTCCCAGACTCCTGTGGGAAGGTTGTCTCACAAGAATCTGTTAGAATGAAGCTGAGGCCCGGGGAATGCTCCGGGCACGCCCTAGACCTTAAGTGTGGCTATTCATTTTGTGGCCCTCTTAACAACTGTGCTCAGTGTCTCTGCTGCATTCACTGTGCCTCAACGACACAATTCTTTTCAGAGAGAACACATGCCCAGATACTTCTGTGCTAAGTCCCTGGTGGCATTGTCAGGAAACGTTGATGCTCACTGTTGTTCTCTCTGTGTCTCTTGGTGTAGATGAGGAGCACCAGCGGGAGCGTGAGCGCCTGGAGCGTGAGCTGCAACTTTTGAGGGCTTCTGGAGAGGAGTGGTGCAGGCGTCGGGAGGCCCTGGAGCAGGCCTTGGTGTCCGCTCAGGCCCGGAACAGGCAGCTTGAAGAGGAGCTGCGGAAGAAGAGAGCATACGTGGAGAAAGTTGAAAGGCTGCAGAGTGCTCTGGCTCAGCTGCAGGCTGCCTGTGAGAAGAGGGAGGCACTGGAGTTGAAGCTTCGCACCAGGCTGGAGCATGAGCTGAAGAGTCTGAGGACACAACAGGTAAACTCAGTATCCATGCTTACTCATTTTGCAGTTGTATGTGAGAAAGACGACTTGCTTTGGACAGTTATATAAACTCACTATCTGTCTTGTCATTCCTGTACCTTCAGTGGCAGTCTCAAGGCGAGCAGGCGAGCAGCACCTCTTCATCCAGCCTAAACACCTCCTCTCTGCAGCAGCGGCTGAGGGAAAGAGAGGAACGTATCTTAGCTCTGGAGGCTGACATCACCCGCTGGGAGCAGAAGTATCTGGAGGAGAGCACGATGCGTCAGTTTGCCATGGACGCTGCGGCCACTGCTGCTGCCCAGAGGTGAGTGAATTGATGAATGAGTACTGTCTTTACATGCAGTGTAAGCTTTATGAAGCATAACTGACGTAGTTTTATGTATTTATTTTTCTCTAAACAGAGATACAACCATCATCAACCATTCGCCCAGACACTCGCCTAATAGCAGCTTCAACGAGGTCCTTCCATCATCCAACCACAGACATCAGGAGATGGAGAACAGGTACTTTACATTCATGGACTCTCAAATTAGGGCTAATACATTATCAACAAATGTTCTGACAACAACTTATCCAGTATATTTGCTAGACATGAAGAATCGCTGTGAAAGTTAACCACGTGTGGTGTTGTTTTGTTCAGGATCCGAGCACTGTATGCCAAGCTGCTGGAGAAAGATGCTGTGATTAAGGTCCTGCAGCAGCGCTCGCGGCGTGAGCAGGGGCGGCCCGAACTCACCGGCCTCCGGCCCGCCCGATCCGTCCCATCTATCAGCACGGTCACAACCATGACCACCACTCGGCCCAAAGGTGAGTGGTTAAAGATTAGCAAGTCAAGCTTTTTTTTCCTGACAACTGGTAGCTCCTTCAGTTGACGGCTGTGTAAAGTTCCCCGGAAAGAATGTGCACTTCCAAAATAATGTCACTAAAGCTGCCGGCACTGCACCCCAAATAGGCCTAAGTCTTGTGAACTGGAATGCATTTTCATGTCCCTGCTCTGGAATAGGACCTCCAGAATAGTTAGAGGGTATCTACAGGGGAGCAGATGTTTGCGCGGGTGGGGCGGTGGGGGGTAGCATTTGTGTATGTTTGAGAGCTGGTAATTAAACTGCTTCCTTTTCTGTCTGTGTTGGCAGGGAAGAGCCTCTCAGATGACCAGACAGCGGCTGCGACACTGCCCCCCGTGCCCCATTCACTATCCAAGGCCCAGAGCCGCGACTGCAGCACCCAGTGTGACGAGCCATCAGATGAAACAAACCCCACGTTAGAGATCACCAGTGCACCAGCTGCTCCAGAGTCCACACCTACGCCCAGCTCTGGTGTGTAACTGCCCACACTCTTTTCCCCGCAAAATCAAATCTGTTTTCTGGGCCAAGGACAGAAATATAATAAATAAGTGGGGGGTACTAGTGTTTATGCTTAGCCAAATTTGGGTATTTATATACCCAAACCTGCTTATTTTGGTGTTCTCTCTGCTCTAACACCCACCTCAACTCAGGAAGGGCCTGTTAATTAGCTGTTTCAACAATCAGTGTAACTCAAAACATACAACTGCAGCAGAATATGGTACAACTACGTTGCCTAAACTAAAAATACTAAAAAGGTACCCTTGAGGGAACCACGGGACCACGGCTGTATCCTGAGAGATACAGTTTTTTTCTGAGAGATGCATTAGTGTCTATTCTTTTGGTCTGTCTCTAAAGAGAGTGCATGTTTTTTCATTTCAACCAAGTGAGGTTAAAGAGTAACCTGCACAGCAGGTGTATGTAGGAGAAGGGTGGACTCAACACAGTCCAGGCTTTGGGTAGCATATGGGTTTGTTTAAACTTGTGTCTAATCAAATTCGCAACCTCTTTTATTTTGCAGAACCTACCACAGAGACGCAGCAGACCCAACCTCCAGTTAGCACAGCCAAGAGCAGCAGCAGCAGCAGTGCTGAAAGCGAACTAGTGGAGATTCTCATCTAAAGACAGTGGAAAGAAAAACTCACCCAGTTCAGGTCTCTTTATGCCTGAACTGCATTCGGCTCAACACTGCCTGAATACATGACCCACATGGGATTTGCCAAGCAAGATCTTCTCATCTCTAATGGTGCTCAAGACAGTGGTTACCTATGGAGCCAGTCTGTTTTTCGATAAGGCGAAGTGAGGAGGTAAAAGAGAGAGAAAACCCCAGACTTTCCCCAGTGCAGAGAGGAGAGCTGAGCTCCCTTTACTGTTTCTCTACACCTAAAAGGACAAAAAACTCTCGAACTCTTCTAGCGACTCTCTCTCAGCTTGCCTCACAATCCGAGGTACTTGTACAGTAACTCTGCAGAACTCCAAGAGGCTGCTGTGATATGGCATAAGTACATATAAAACAGTATATATGTGAGTTCCTTTTTTTGCCTTGTATTTATATTTATGATAATTGCTGCTGAACTGCGTGAGTTTTTTTTTTCTTTGAAGAGTGTTATTGTATGTGAGAAGGTGTAGGAAAGAATACAAGAGAATGAATGTCTGTTTTTGAATGTCTGTTTTTGCAGTCCATCTGTTTTCTGTGCATCCGTTGCCCTTGGTTCATTTTTCAAGGGAAGTGTTTCCGCAGTCGACTTAGTATACCGTTCCGTGTAAGACAATATCTTGCATTCCTGGATAAAATGCACAGACATATCAGCTAACTTTGGTCGTTCTGCATATAGTAGACATGTGCTGTTGCAACTGCTCGACCCTTAAACATCCCAAAAAAAGAACAGTAAAGTTTGCGGGTCAGCCATCTGTAGCGTAAAAGCGGTCGGCCTAGGATTACGCTATTTACCAGAATAGTTGGGTGAAAACTGATTGACTGAACGCTGACACTCCCTTTGACTAAATTAACATTACAGTTGGTGTTCTTATTATAATTGGCTGCCAGTAGGCTTCTCTCTCTCCCTGTTTTAAGCAGCGGAATGAGAAGCCTCCTTTTGTGGATTTAGACTGCTGGGCACATACTTGTCTCTTTTAGTGACACTTAAGAGACGTGTCACCCTCGGGACGGTCAGGGACTGATGCTTCAAATGCCACATTATCATTTTGTGCCTCTAGCAGCAGCTATCTGGCATGCCTCTCTGTCCTTCGCTGACAAGCTGAAGCTAATCTTCTCGCATCCCTGCGTGGCGGTATGTTCCTGATTGGTGCAAAAGGCTATCTGCTGCCTGACCCCTGGCCTGTTTGAAATGGCTGGCATTCATGCTACTATTCTCTTTCTGGGGCTATTTATTTCCACACAGCTATGGTAGCTGGTTCTACCATGAGCATCAGAATAGTGGAGTAGTTACATACAGCAACATGGACACATCTAACCATATTTGCAGCTATAAGTTGTGGTGTTATTTTAAAAAAAATGTTACTGTCTTAACTTCAAAGACTTACATTTCTATGGTCAAAAAGGCTGTTTGAGATGGTGTGATGTGAATTCGCAAATAAGAGCAGACCTGCATTAGCTAGGTGGTAAACTAAGGGCTAATACATTTACACTTCATTCTAACTAGACCATGGAAAGCCACATTCTCTCTGAGTGACTCTAGACTGGAAGTGTAGGTAATCAGTATTGCACCATGTTCCTTACTGTCATTGAACGCTATTTCTCTTTGCCTGCTCTCCTACACAAAGTATTTGCTGGTCAATGATTTGTAGAGGAGTCATATGCTTCTTGAATGCTTTTTTTTGCTCTCTCTTTGGACTGTTTACAGAAAGGGCTGTTTGGAAAAGAAAAGACATTAATATATTTTGTATATTATTGTGCCTTTTATAGTATCTAGTGACATGAACATTAATGCCAAAGATTTGCATTACAAAGTAAGTTATATAATGAAAATATGAGACCTTGGTGAAGTGTAGATGCCTTGCTCAGACTGGTTGACCCATACTTAGATGTTGCTGTGAACTTCTGGAATGGGACTTTTTTGTATGCCATTAACATTTCATTCATTGAATAAAAACTTTAATATATATCTTTTAAAAAACATGTTTGTTTTCTCTTTCTTGACAAACCATACCATTGGATGCCTTCACTTGGAATGTATTTGCAGTCCCTTAAAAAAGACAGATGTACTCAGGGGAAGAAGGGGGTGGTTGTGGTCTGACCCGTTGACATTTTTTTTAACAAGTGCAAGTCTGTGCAAACTCCTCTAATCTGAGTCCCTTCATCGGCATGAATGGTATCTTTCATTCAGCGCAGTAGAAGGCGGCCTTATTCACTGCAGGAAAACAATTCTGCCACCTGCTTGACTGCTGGCAGCCAACCTGCATCTCCAATCTGTTGCTCATACTGGTCAGCTTTCTGCTCTTCTTCAGGACAAATGTGCAGACAAAGATGAACTCAGGCTTCTTACAGCGTTCAGCAATATGAGGACATTCTTGGGCAACGCAAATCACAGGCAGGTTGCTATCACATTCGTATGTAATAATAAAAGATCATCACTTTTCCAAACCCACGATAGATTTGGGCTTGAAGCACTGACAAAATGTGCTTTACAATCTTAAAAATAAAGGTGCACGTGGTCATGGAAGAGCCACTTTGGTTCCCTAAAGAACCTTTCAGTGGATGGCTCTCTAAAGAACCATTTTTGTAAATGTGAAGTGCCAGTGCGAAGAACCTTTTTAAAGAGCCTCATAATGTTAAGGTTCTAGAAAGAACCCTTAAAGTGGCATAGAACCTTTACATTAAGTGAAAGTTAGCACTCGCAATTCTCTTTTTAAAGCATGGCTCCAAAAGTGATTCTTCTATGGCTTCGCTCAGAAAACCTTAGAGGGAATTGTAGTAAATATGTGTATTACTGAAAAAAGCTATCAATATTTAAGACGTCCCCCAGACAGAAACCTCTTTTAACTCCTTTGATTGCAGTTTGTTTGATATTAAAATAAGCAGGAGTGCATGATTGGAATCGTCCAAGATTAGAATCGGCCAATTTGTGCTCTCTTGCTTGTAATGTAGGTCTTTTTTGATTCCTTTTTATTAGTCATTTAACAATTAAAAATGCCAGTTTGGCGCTTTAAAGAGTGCAAGCTTTGAGTATTAAAAAAGCTAATAAAAGACACCCAGACTTTTTGCATTTAACTGACCAGTTAAAAATGCAAAGCTGGATAGCTTAGCGGTAGAGAAATATTTGGAATTTCTTCTGTCTTGGTGCAGTAAGATGCTCAAGCATTCCATTCCAAATGAGGAAGAACAGAGATCTCAAATATGTTAGCAATCAAACGAGGCCACAGCGTTAGAGTTTATTGATTTCATTTTTAAAACTACTCCTCAGGCAGGACTGTGAGAGATTACTTCATGTGTTCTTTATGATGGTTAAACTGCTCCAGTGATTAATGGCAGCAATCTCTCTGGGGCGCTTTCACCTTTCCTCCCTTTTTGACTTCTGTGAATTGCATTAATCTCTCAAGAACTTGGACTCCCAAAATTCGATGCGTTGGGCACATTTTTAAAATATTCCACACAAGAATTCAGACGGTTGATTCACAATACGGGAAATGAGCATTGTGTGTGTGTGTGTGTGCGTGTGTGTTGGCTGGCAGTGTTGAGATGTGTAAAGGCTGTATGATTCTTCATGTCTAAGGCCTTGCCTAAGGGAATTAGGAGTATGAGGTTAGACCATAGATCATCCTGAAGAACATTCCAGTGGAACCAACAGGAACAACCCTGTCATTATTGATCAAAAGTCTGTTGCAATCTGATCATGGAAGCTAAATCGGATCACAGCAGTGGGAAACCCTCAAGGCCTTCCAGGCTTCAGAGTAGGTTAAATGATTTCTGTGAAAAAAAAGGTAATTTTTTTCCTTATTTTTATGTAATATAATAATAATGGCTATTGTATTTCAGTTCTGCAAGTATTGCAGTAATACTCCCATTTCAAAAGTTGTCACAAAAGTGTTAGAATCTTGAAACACCCAACAAAAAATTATCCAAAAAGGATTTTTTTTTCATCTAGGTAGGTAGATACAGCCAAATTCTTCTATTGGCTGGAGATGAACTGAAGGCCTAATGCTTCTGATTAATACCTAGCATAATTAGGAAGAAGAATCAACCAATCACTTTTTGATTTCTAATTGATTGAACCAATTTTGTGAGAAAAACATCACTCTGGGCCTTCTGGAAGTACTAGATACTTCACTGTAAGAGAGATGGATCTACTTCAGATGTTACATATGGAAAACAGAGGCAGATATAAGTCAGGGCTTTTTACTGAGTCACCAAAAATTGCTAAATGGTGTTAATGTGTTAAGCTAAGTACAAAATAAAACATGGAATGTCTTTTACAAGGTTTAAATGTCTGCATTTAATCTAGGGCTACCAAAAAATGCTTAAGTGAATCTTTGTTAGCTCAGCACTAACATACTACTAGAATCTTATAGGGGCACTAAAAGAAATTAGCGTTATCATTGAGGAGTTTTTGTTCCTCATTTTTGACCTAGTTTTGACATGTATGGCCCAAATGGAAAGTCCTACTCAAGTTGTCACTCTTTGCCACTGGATCACAGTGAAAAAGGAAGTTTCTACTGCAGGATGTGAATCATCTAAACATAGCAAAGGTTGTTAGCGTCCCAGCAATGAAGTTCTCATATAAGTTAAGTGCTCTGCTGGCAGGGGTGAGAACTTAATGCGTGCTTCAGTGGGTCTTGTTTTCCCCTCTAATGTTTTCTTTCTATTGTGCTTCTTTTGATAGGTGTGAGATGGCATTCCTTAAATGTTTTACAAGTTTCCTAGCTGGTGGGTTCGCTTGTGGCGAGCGGGTGCGACTTTTCTCAGCTCGGGCTGGAGGTAATGGAGGTAAAAGCCACTTGAGGAATGTCTCACTCTGTTCTATCCATGGAGAACAAGGTGGGCCCATCATGCTTCAAGGTCAGCTAATGGGTTGGTGTACCATTTGTTCGCCTCCTATTCTTGCAAGTAACTGGACATGTTCAGCAATGTGACAATTAGGCCTTTGACATGTCAGCTGCTGATGTACTTCACTGCCTGTGTATTTGAAGTACCTGGAGGACCAGCATAAAGCTGTTGCATGACATTGTTGCATTGAGATACAAAGCTATTTTCATGCTAAAATGGCTCCATTTGGTAGAAAAGACTTGATTTTCATTCTAGGTAAGAGGTTGTCCCTGTGAGGTTGCTCAGCAATGCTTCAACATCTGTGTATATGTGTATAAAGTGTAAGATCCAAGTCTTCTCTGCAGGGAATCTCATTTCTGGCGCCCGGCTTGTTTCACCAGGCTGCATTTTCCCCTTAGACTTCTGCAGAATGGGTAGAATCTGGGCGCATTCCAGAAATGTCTGTAGTTTTCCAAAAGAAAATGAATCACAGAGGTGACTCTGTGCTTATTAAAAAGAAATCACTGTAGTTTCACTTAAACAAATATGCATTTGGCCCAGTCATTTCGCTTTGGATAGCAGATGATGATAAAATGGTTTGGATCTTGCATTGTTTGGATTAAAGCAGATGAGGAAAGAAAGGTATTCGCAGTTTTTACATTAGTGGAGTTCCTTAAGTGACCACGTTAGTCATGCTGATCTATAAAGTACAGAGAGACAAGCAGAGCCTTGGCCCCCGATGTTGGCCTTTGCACATACTTTTGGTCCAAGATTTCAGTGAGAAATATTCGGAAAAATGGCTCAGTCAAGTGCTGTGTTTTGCTTCGATTTCCATGGAGATTCCAAAACTTCCTGCTCGGAGCGTTCCTGGAATGCATCTGCCCCCACCTCCTTTTCCTCTTTTTTCCTTTGCACATAAGTAAGGTCTCAATTTTAGACCTGCAACTGCTGTCATTTGTCACATATCCATTAACCATCTGTCTGTCTGACAGTCTGTTAGAAATGCACTAAATCTTTATTGCCTATTTTATTGCCTATTGTTTCTCCTCTACAGTTACATTACACAGACAAAACCCTCATGAGAAAGGACTACAGTAATGCTACAGAAACTTCAATAAGGAACAGTAAATTGGGACAATTGCTATAGTTTGCTGTAGGGTACTACACAAGTACTTTATCATACAGGAATATTATAGCATCCTGCTGCTGGCTCATGCTGCCTCTGAAAAGCTTAGGAGGCATGGACATGTGAAGAGACATGCAAGGCACGTGCTCTCTAAAAAGGGACATTTTATGTTGTTTCTTCTTTAGTTAAAGGTATGTGTTTGTGTTCCATGTGTTTTATTGTGTGTGGGGGTGTGGATAGTTTTGTGTGGGGTGGTCAACACGGGGTGAAAGCTTGGGTCTAATAGTGACCTTCCCCATTATTTCCATGTGTGTTATGTGCCTTTCCACATTGGTGTTTAAAAAAAGAGCACTTCTCATGATAGAATCAGGGTCCTACTCTGCGCTGACACCATAGTGGTGTTGGAAGTTCGACAGTGGGATAGCGCCCACCAGCAGTCTGGAGCGAAGGTGCACTAAAAAGAACTTCAGGGGAGGCAGAGCTCGGCAAAAGACTGTTACAGCGAGGACAGCAATGCAAGGCTCCATTTCGAAGATGACATGGTGAGACTCCATGGCTGCAGGCTGTGGGTTGAGTGCAGCGTGGACAGCAGATGGCTTATTGCACTCACCATCACAGGCTTGTTGATATCCAAACTGTGACTAGGTGTGCTTATGCACACCAAGAGAGGTACATCAAACGGCTAGAAGGCGATCACCATCCAGCTCAGGTCAGTCACCAGTGGCAGAGGCGGGGCCCCAGCACGCATGAGCGCCGCTCACACCAACCTTGATAGTGTGGTGGGCGCTGGATCCCTGCCTCCATCGCTGGTGCGCCAGTCCCATTGTTGGGTCTTTCCATGCTGGCTTCATCACAGTCAACCTTTGAAGGGTAGGGTACGTAGCATCCCACCACTGGCTCTGCTGCCTCAGAGAAGCTCGAGGGGCGTGGCCATGTGAAGGGCCATGTAAGGAGGCTCATGGTAGATGCATGCCATCCAAAAAAGGGACTCAGTGGGTTGTTTAATGTTGTAAT